AGAAAGGGATACTGTTGATTTGCAGGAAACAGATGCTTGAACTCAGAACCACAAGAAAGATAGGACACCCTTTTCAAGTATTTTATTTTGAAATGTATCTTTCTGAAATTCATTTTGCACAGACTTTTGTTGCTGATCAATAATCAGGAAGTATCTGAAAACAACTTCTGTTAGGTCCTATAGGCAGGTTTTTTTGTTCAAAGATGTGGGACACGTTGTAGTATTTAATTGAAAACTGTGAACTGACTTGACTCAATTTGGACAGTATCACTGTAGTGACTTGAGATCTTGTATCAAACGGAGCAGTCAGTTTAACTGATGTGAAGCATTCTCCTGTAAGCAAGAGAAGGTAGAGGCTATTCCAGGAGCATAGGGATAGCCTTGTGCAGTTCAAAGAATAGAAGTTCTGGTTGCTGCTGTCACTGGTTCTGCATTTCTTAGTACTAGAAGCTATTTGCAGAGTGGCACCCTTATAAATTCAAAAACATTTGTGGGAAAAAAACCCACCTCAACCGTGCCCCCCAAAGTTAAATTGTTTCTTGTATCTCACGCTAACTCTGAAAGCCTCTGCAGAAGGCATGTAGCCCACTTTTGCAAGGTGGGGGAGTATCAATTTGTGCCGTTTCATGATTAATCCATTTAGTTTCAACTTCAGCAGGTTTCGCACAAGACAGTTTGTTCTTTGGTGATTACTGAATAAAATGCCTTAGTGTGAACTTTTCCATGTAAACCGTGAAGTGAGAGAAGCTCACTGATGAAGAAGGAGGCTTGAGATGAGAATCATCTCACTGACTGTACCTTGCCTTACCTAGCTGTGGCGAGTGGTACAGTTTAGTCCTCAGACCTTCTCCTTCTGTCTTCCAGAGGGCTGATAAACTGCCATGATGAGATCGTCCCTGCAACTGAGACGATGAATCTGTGATGTTGAAATCAGTACAAGCATCATGCTCTTAGGGTTGTGCTTGGAACAAGATTTAACTGAAAACTGAGTCAGAGCGTACATCCAACATGTACAAACGTCTCTTAGGAAGAATTTCAGGGCTTGATTTCCCAATGATGATCATAAAAGTAGGACTGGTCCCATAATTCATGGTTAAACCCAAAGCCTCAACAACAAAGGAATTGTAACTTTGGTTAATTACACCCTGTCTTCATCAACTGCAACTGGCTTCTTTCTGTTATAGTGAGATTTTGTGCTATGACCATAACAAACCAGCAGGAAAGAGAGAGAAAATTGGGATCAAACAAAATTAAGAAATCAGTCAGGATAGTTTAAATAGTTTTTCAGTAAAATACTTGTTGGCAAGCTGCCCTGACACCTGGCAGAAACATTCTCTTTTCTTTTAATCTGTCTGGAAAATTTCAGACCTTTCAGTTCCCAGTGTGGACTGATAAGAAGCTGCAATAAGGTGGTTCTTCAACAACAGAACTTGATTACATCTTCCTCTTCAGAGGAGCTTGTATCGAATGACTTACCTTTAAAAAAGAAAGATCAGGCCCGCTTCAAGGAACCACTTACTATAAGAACCAAGACCTAGTGCAGAGTTTAAGGTAAATGTTTTCTCAATTTCAGTATAGTTACAGATACCATTGAAATACTGTGTCATTGTTCTTAACACAGGACCTGCTGGTCTAATGTCACTGCTAACCCCTTTGATATTAAACAAATCGTAAGATATAACTGAAACATATCTTAAGAGCAATCAGAGCTAAAAACCAAAATTCCCGATGATGGCTACATTCCTCTGCCATCCAGCAGTCTGCCGGCTGCAGCAATGCCAGGGTGCTGCTGAATTTCACTGAAACTAATCAACGCTTACACATAGCTTTTGCGTTAACTATGTGTCTTGTTGGAAAGTAGCTAGCAAGCACACTTACCCCTGGCTCTTCTCTCATGGTAGAAACACATCTTTTTCATTCGTCTTGGTACATCTTTGAACATTCCTGTAGCCAGTGATGTCAAAGGAATTTCCAGAGATGATGAAAAAGAACAAGTGATATACAGGCTGGTGGGCTAGCTGTGCAAAAGAAAGGTGGAAATCAGCTGTTACATGAGTGAGCAATATGTGTAACCATTTTGTGTTTTGTGCCTTAATGTAATAGAAGTTACAACATTCCTTAGGTAGGTGGTCTGTTTAAAATTGCTCTTTTGATACCTGTTAATTAAATTAAGAAACAGGTTCTTGAAAAGAAAACTTCCAAAAGACCCTTCTGGAAGGATGCTTGGTCTAGAATAGTCCCTAAGCACATGCACATATGGAGTATAGGCTGTATGGCTAGAAGAGACCACAGGCAACCACACCATATAATGACAGTCATAAATATATCCCATACTATTTTTAAGTAAAACATCTTTAAACACCTACATAGTGAAGTAGCTTCCGCAGCCTTTGCTGCAAAGTAAAAAAAAAGAAAAAAAAAGAAATCTTGTTCTGTGCCTGAATCATTAGGGTTAACTGATCAGAGGACCTGCCTGAACAGCATGAAGACTGACCAGGCAGAGCAGGCTTGGGTCTCAGCGCTCGTTCCTCTGCATGGTACTCGTCAGCTCATACCCTCAACACCGGTTTACAGTTGATAACCCAATAACTGTTCAGGGAAGCTGTTAGCACCTTAAGCAAAAAAATTCTACTCCAAAATGCAGAGATAAGGTTTTCCAGAGATTTTGCGTGTTTGGTGTTCAGCAACAGTGCTGAAAAGTGCTTCTAGGCAGACAGTCTGCTCTTTTTTCTAATGAGACTAATTGCATGCCAGTGGCAGTGTGTAAAAGGTAGTGATTAATAAGGAACAACTAATTCTCCAGAAATTCAAGGAGGATGCAGTTAATTTGGGCCTTTTTTAAAAACATTGATTTGCCAAGTTTCCTGTTTGTGCAGTGTCCATGCAGGACCTCACTTCACACCATTGATGAGGCTGTTTCCTACTGCCAAGGGAGAGGAGAGTGTTGGTAGTGGAGGAGTTGAATTGTTGAGCTCAGTTTTGTTACCCCTTGATAACTTTTTTCTATTTATGCAGATTTTTGTTCTTTGCATTGTTCCACTGTGAAAGACTGAAGATGCACAGCTAGCGTAAATATGCATTCCTTGTGACTAGGTTTCTAGTTGCTATGTCCTTATTTTACAACCAATGTTTGATTTGCATTAGGAAAAATGGAGGTAAGTTACTCCAGTAAAGACCAAGTGGCCTCTTGTTTCAGCAGGACATTTCTTCTGCGTTAATACCACACATCTGATAGAGCTTCCCTCTTGATCCTGAGCCGAGTCCTTAGTTCAAGTGGATGTCATGTATGTTCAGTGTTCTAGATCGAGCAGTGAACAACATTTAGGCCTTATCATCAATGTGGTACTCTGCGTAAGCTGCAAGCAAACCAGAGATCAATGATAGGTATCATGGCTGTCTCTGCAAGCGAATAATCCAGATTTATAATGGCTGCTGCCAGTGGCAGGATTGTGAATTGTCAGGCAGTATTAGGGTTTAAACTTGTCAGTGAAGTCCCTGGATGTGACCCCTGTGGTAGGGAAAGGAATCAGATTTTCTTTCAGCTCCTTTTTGCAGGCTTTCTTGTCCTTCAAGCCATAGCTGTTAACCCTTACCAAGGATGTATGAGCAGGGGGCTGGGGTTCCAGTCCCAAGGAGCAGTCCTAGTGCGAACACGTTGCTGCCTTGACAAGGCTGTTGCGGCATGGTTCATACTGCAGTGGGGCACGTGGAGCCCCAGGACATTCAGTACCAAGTTAAAAGTAAAAGAATGGTGGCTAAAACTAAAATGCAGGCATTCATCTGGGTTGCGCAGCCAGCCTTTCTCCCCAGCAGTGGGAAGGAGTGTTCTCAGGAACACTTGCCAGTATGGTGGTCCCTGACCTTCCTCTTGCCTGTCTGTCTGAAATCCGCACATTTCTCAGTGACTCCTGTCACAGAGATCTAACTCAAGGCCTAGCTTTGCAAGCAGGATTTCCCCACAGGTCTCCCTGCACCCACATTGAAGCTGGCACTTTTATCCCAGAGAATCTGTGATACTGGAGCATATCCTCACCACAAGACTCCTGACATGGAGCAAGAATGGTGCAACGGGCTGCTGCCTTGCTCTCTCTGTTCACTGGTTACACCTCAGCCAGTCTTCTAGCTTCCTCCCTCTCCCATCAGCTCTCAGACACCTGCTTATGAGTCAGTTTTTACTTGTCCAATACAAGATGAGATTTTGCTGTTCTCAGCAGCCTTCTCCTTGGGAGGAATTCCATATTATGGAGCAGCTGGAGAATATAAATCAGTGTCTCCATTTGTCTCCACCACAGGAACAGAAGTCGCTAAGTAAGAGTGGAAAGAAGCAAATCTGAAAATTGGTAATGAGCATACCTTTGTACAACATGCTCAGACAATATAAGTCACTCTCAGACGATACCATTAACGTAAATGCATTCCATGAAAAACTATTGCTTTACTTAAAAAATAAGGCTATCCATGGTGACACTTCCAGAAGGAATATAAAACATGACAAACATTTTTCACGTCACATGCTGAACTCTTAAGAGCCTAAGGACAAGAAGGAAGGTAATTGCAGGATTTCTGTGGGTAATCTATTGAAAAATTATCCCTTACAGGTTTACCACAACAGGATAATATCCAGTAGGAAAATGGTGTTGCATCTGCTCATGACGTCAGTCAGGTTATTGGCTGATACTGCATCAGAATGCTGAAAGGCATGACAAGATTCGGTGCAGAACTTTAGCAATTATTTAAGCTGCAGTAACTCTTTCTTGGAGTGATAGATTTAAGGGATGCAGTCCCTGAAGACAAGGTGAGGAAGTGATTCGACAACAAACTTCTGTGAGGAGATGACACCAGAGTTTGAAAGTAGAAACTGGGAAAGTTCACATAAAAAACGTAAAGTTTCAACATTTAACATGAATAACCAGTTGCTTACAGGGGGAATGGAAAGATTTTCTACTATCTGAGGTCTTTAGACTAAGACAGCTTTCTGAAAGATGCCTTAGTTTGAACAGATTGGGCTTGCCAGCAGCCTCCAGCTGGGCTCTCTGGTGGGTCAGACGAGATGCCCATATCACCCCTTCTGACCTTCGAACCCGGATCTGAACCCTGCTGCCTCACCTGTTTTCCAGGGTGAGCTGATCAGTTTAGCCAAACAGTGCGACCTGCCGGTGAGGAAGGTGGAGAGGTGGTTCCGGCACCGGAGGAACACAGACCGACCCAGCCTGACGAAGAAGTTTTGCGAGGCCTGGTGAGCAGGAGCACAAGCCATGAGCAGCAGGGGCCCTTCACCAGAGCTGAGCTCCGCGGGCAGCTCACTGCCTCCCCGCCTGCCCTCCACCCTACGCAGAGAGCATCCCAGCTCCGCTGCCTCCCCGCCTGCCCTCCACCCTATGCAGAGAGCATCCCAGCTCCGCCGCCTCCCCACTTGCCCTCCACCCTGCGCAGAGAGCATCCTGGGTCTTCCCTGCCCCACCTGATTCTTCTGCAACTCTCTGCTGCTTCTCTGTTACTGAAACATTCCTTGCTTTTCCCCTTTATTTTCACTCCCAAGTCTCCTTTTACTCCTGTCTCATGTTTATTCCTTATAGGGCCTCTGTTTCTGACTTTGTAAGACTGGCATTGTGCTTTGAAACACAATTGTACCTGAAAAACTCCCTATTGTTTCGCATCTTACTGCTCCTTGCTGCTTTGCTTTCGGTGCCTCCAAAACAGTCAGCCTTTCTGTTGCCTTTCCCATGACTTCCCTTTGCTTCACCGCAAGCTGATTCCTTCTGCAGCATCTTTTCTGCAACCGTTCTGCACGCTGTTGCTTTAAAAAGTCACAGGCAGCGGGCTAGATTGTGTTCTGCTGTCAATTGACTTCAGCATCCTGAAAGTCAAAAGCCAGCATCCTTTTATAGTGGCAGAAAAAGGGGCCTATGTGAAAGCTTGTGTTTTCCAAAGAGCAAAATTCTTCCTGGAAACAGCTGTGTGGAAATCCTCCTTATTATGTGGAGGCACAAAATAAATCTCACATCAGCCAGTTCTGTGAATGTTAGTCCTGGCTGAGTTTTCCACAGAAAAGAAGGATTCTCCTGAATTTGGTTGAAATGCTTTACTTATGAGTGGCTGCTCTGCTATTTGTGTAAGGAAGTAGGTTCTCCCAGGAAAGCCACAGAGGTGAAAGAAATCATTAAATACCTGCAGTGCTATTCATCTGTCTAAAAGTGTATATCCATAGGGTAGGCATCAACTTTGAGCTAATCACCTCATGCTCCATTTAGCACTCAACCTCTAATTCAAAACCCCTGCCTAAAAACCCTAATTGAAAAAGAAAAAAAAAAAAAGGATGTGTATTATTTATTTATAATATTCCAGATAGTTGCAGTTAGAAATAGTTACAAAATCTGTGAACAAGGAGTTGTAAAGCAACCACGCTTAATCTGCTTCCATCAAGATGAAATCTAGTTCTCCCTGCACTCAGCTGACTTACAGTAAATAGTAACAGTAAATAGTAAACAGTAAATATTTTTCTGACTCAACTCACTGGGGATGGTGTCCTTCCACCTGCCCTCTGTCACCATTTGCAGTCTGTAGAAAGAATGTCTTTCCAATGTGATGTAGTAGCTTTGTACAGTTTATATCTCTCTTGGCGCTCCTGGGGGTTTCATTGACAGGTGGAGTCTCTCTCTCTCTCAAAATGTAGTTACTTCTGATTTGTTATGGAGATTTTTGGAAATTCAAGGACTGGTTTAGACAGTTTTACTCCTTTGAAGATTTCCTGAGTTTAGTTTATCAGCTTGTTTATTCTGTTGGGGAGAAATTCCCCTCATTCCTTACTATATGTGTGTATATTCAGTGTGACCTGCCTCTGTCCACTGAACTTGGCAAACAGTTCATAGGTACCTCTGTGTGGGTTTAATGTGGGTAAATCATTACCAGCTCTTGACTGAGACCAAACATGACAGTAATTAATTACTTTACATGATCATGAATTTAGCATGCCTAATCTCCAAAAGCCTAGAAAGAGAGATTGGCATTGTTTGACTTTTACAAATGCATCTGCTAGTGCTGGGAAGGTTTGGGATGATTATCTGAGTGATTTTAGTCAGCAGGATTCTCGTATTTTCTGCCATCTCTAAAGCAGAAGAATTGCTCTTTGTGAAGTCTGTTGAATGTGCTAGTGACATGCAATGACATAGACAGTGGGTTCGAGTGCACCCTCAGCAAGTTTGCAGATGACACCAAGCTGAGTGGTGCGGTCGGCACGCCGGAGGGACGGGATGCCATCCAGAGGGACCTGGACAAGCTGGAGAAGTGGGCCTGTGTGAACCTCATGAGGTTTAACAAGGCCAAGTGCAGATGTGAGTACACCAGCAGTGCCACCTGCTGTTCTACCTAGCCAGTGCCTGCAAGAATGGCAGATTTTGTTGTCAAACATGTCCTTTCAGACCTTCTTATAGAGGTTTTCCCACCAGGTCAGTGTGTATCCTCTGCACAGCACACTTAATGAGACCACAAACATATTGGACCATGCTTATTTTAAAAACTCCAACTCAAAACCAAGAGGTTTCCTCTTCTTCTGGCAAAGCAGAAGACAATTAGGACTGGGTAAAAATAAATTTCTGTGGGGCAGGAGATAGAACACTTACCTGAGATGGAAGCTGCAGGGCCTGTTTGTGTGTTGTATCCAATACCTGTTTAAGGTAAAAAAACTCAGGCTTCCTTTGGAGCATGGACTGCAATTTAATCATTTATTAATTTTCTTTTCCTTACCCAAGGTGTGAGAGGTTCAGGCTCATGCCTCTGCCTTTTCTCTGATTTGATAAATAATGAGTTCTCTTGATATAAACAGAACTGCCTCAACAGAAGACTGAGACTTGAATGATACAGGTTTGAATCTTTGAGGCAGAAGAGGTAACCATGCATATGCTCTAATCACTGAGCTGTGTTCGCTGAGCTGGGACAAGGGGCACCGGTCATCCTCTGGCTGTGTTTTAAATGTTCCTCTGGCTCTTTTGCTGAGTCCGATTCCTTAGGTGAGCTTTGCAAAAGTCTTCTACACCAGCATCTTCTGAGGGGTTAAGTAATGGAAAACCTGCAGATCCCAAGACAGCAGGCACAAACTATGGTTGTAACTGGTCATTATTGTAACAAGTGAAGAACTTTTGGACTTATATTCTGACTTGAAAGTCAGTATAAGGTACCCTAGGAGTATGAGGATTACAGGATGACCCAGCAGAGGAGAGAAGGTGTCTAAATCCCAACTGCAGTGTTTTGTGGATCTGAACATCAAAATAGAAGGCTATTCTTTGAGGCCAACTATGCGTGTTTGTATGGATGACCTGCTTAGCATAGTACAAGAGCCCTGTGGCAACAGAAGGGGCAAAATCCTGTTCTTCTGCATGTTATCTGACCATTCTAGGAATGAAAGATCATCTTCACTTTTCATGAAAGTCTTTTCTTTATTCAGTACACATCTTCCAGTTTTCACAAAAAAAGGAGGCATCTGTCCTATGGGCAACAGCTCTAGATCCTGCAGCAAATAGCATGTTATTCTGTTATCTAAAATTGTACCAAAATGACTACATTAAAAAGAAGGACAAAGAATTAATGTGACAGGGCGTATTTGCATGTGACATTTCCTGACTTTTGCGTGTTTACTTTGTAATCTGAGTAGTATTTTAACATGCATTTGTTTTTGTGAAACACCCTTCTTTCTTTAGAAAAAAGCAAATGTTTAAATTCTGTATTAGTAGCTTTAGGCTGGTGGCAAAAACCTCTGCCCCATGACTCAGTGAAATAGCAATGGAAAGTTATCTCACAATAGGCCACCAGAAAACAGCTTTACTTGCTGAGAGTAGAGGAATGATGAAATTCAGGGATCTGGGGCTCCTTTCTAGTTTAGGTAACACAGTGTGCCATAGTTTTTTCAGAGTTTTTGCTTTGTCCTCTCTTTTTCTCTATCACACATCTCTCCTGGTTCTATACCTGTATTTGCTATAAATCCTACTCCCAACCACTCCCAGCCAGGAGGAGGCTGTGTCTACTCCTAATTACCACTGCTCGCAAAAACCACTGCTTCCTGCTTCCCTTCCATATTGCTCATGCACCAGCAGGTGCTCAGTGAGAGAAGGAGAAATGTTGTCTTCTTGCTCTTAGCTCTGATATCTGGAGCCTTGTAGAACTGTTAGAGAAAATTACCCTTACAGATGTGACATAGAATATGTTCCATCACTGTATGCTCTAGGACATGCTTGCTCTGATCAAATCTGGGCACAGCTCCATGCAGGAAGAACTTTTGGGGACTTCAGTTGCCATGTTTCTATGAAAGTTTCGAAGCTGCCAAGTTCTAAACTACCAATTTTCTATTAAGTGTGAATCTTTTCACACTTCATCTTTTCACAGGTTCATTACTTAACAGACTGAAGCATGATCCTCACCATTAGAGGAAGAAACACGTTCCTGACACACAAGTTTTCAGCCTCTTTACCATGTTTAAGTGTTGTTGTCCAAACCACAGAGATTCTTAATCAAATAGTTGTAAGAATATTTTAATATATTCAAAACATAACCATCACCACCCAAACTTGTAGAAGGCTGCAACAAGTTGGTAGAAATCTTCCCTGAGCTATTTTATTTGGGACTGGGCTAAACAGCACATGAAATTTCAGCACAATAGCCACAAATTGGCAATGTCTCAAGCAACTGCAAGTTCTTGTAGTGGAAATCTCTTGGCAACTGAATTCCAGACAGTGTGACCAGCTCTGCCTGTAATAAAACGCAACAAAGTCTGTAGCAGTAACAAACTAAAGGAGTTAGACAGTTGATAAGAGAATTCCTCTGCCATTCTCACATTCATGTTGCATTTTCTTTCCAGAAGCCTTGGCTTTGGGACCACAGAGAGTGCTGGACAGGATATCCACAACAGGTAAGTCATGCAAGAGGGAAAATTGCTGTTATAAATCATGTATTGTCTTTTGATATCTTTTGAAAATCAGGTTATATTAGTGACAAAAGAGAGGGCACTGCATTAAATTCAGACTCACGAGCCCTAAGAATTCAAAGCCAGATCCTCATCAAGGGAGAACGTCTTTGTATCTAGTGTAATCTCTTTTCTCTGATTTGATAAATAATGAGTTCTCTTGATACAAATTGAACTGCCTCAAGAGGCAGAAGAGGTAATAGAAGACATGCATATGCTCTAATCACTGAGCTGTGGTCACTAAGCTGGGACTAGGGGCACTGATCATCCTCTGGCTGTGTTTTAAAGGTTCCCCTGGCTCTTTTGCTGAAGATTCCTCCTTAGGTGAGCTTTGCAAAAGTCTTCTACACCAGCATCTTCTGAGGGGTTAAGTAATGGAAAACCTGCAGATCCCAAGACAGCAGGCACAAACTATGGTTGTAACTGCTCATTATTGTAACAAGTGAAGAACTTTTGAACTTACACTGACTTTCAGGTCAGAATTTAAGGTACTCTAGGAGTATGAGGATTACAGGATGAGCTAGCAGAGGAGTGAAGGTGTCTAAATCCCAACTGCAGTGTTTTGTGGATCTGAACATCAAAATAGAAGGCTATTCTTTGAGGCCAGCTATGCATGTTTGTATGGATGACCTGCTTAGCATAGTACAAGAGCCCTGTGGCAACATAAGGGGCAAAATCCTGTTCTTCTGCATGTTATCTGACCATTCTAGGAATGCAAGATCATCTTCACTTTTTGTGAAAGTCTTTTCTTTGTTCAGTACATCTTCCAATTTTCACAAAAAAAGGAGGCATCTGTCCTACGGGCAACAGCTCTAGATCCTGTAGCAAATAGCATGTTATTCTGTTATCTAAAATTGTACCAAAATAACTACATTAAAAAGAAGAACAAAGAATTAATGTGACAGGGTGTATTTGCATGTGACATTTCCTGACTTTTGTGTGTTTACTTTGTAATCTGAGTAGTATTTTAACATGCATTTGTTTTTGTGAAACACCCTTCTTTCTTTAGAAAAAAGCAAATGTTTAAATTCTGTATTAGTAGCTTTAGACTGATGGCAAAACCTCTGCCCCATGAGTCAGTGAAATAGCATGTAGCAATAGAAAGTTATCTCACAATAGGCCACCAGAAAACACCTGTACTTGCTGAGAGTAGAGGAATGATGAAATTCAGGGATCTGGGGCTCCTTTCTAGTTTAGGTAACACAGTGTGCCATAGTTTTTTCAGAGTTTTTGCTTTGTCCTCTCTGATTCTCTATCACACATCTCTCCTGGTTCTGTACCTGTATTTGCTGTAAATCCTACTCCCAACCCCACTCCCAGCCAGGAGGAGGCTGTGTCTACTCCTAATTACCACTGCTCGCAAAAACCACTGCTTCCTGCTTCCCTTCCATATTGCTCATGCACCAGCAGGTGCTCAGTGAGAGGAGAAATGTTGTCGTCTTGCTCTTAGCTCTGATATCTGGAGCCTTGTAGAACTGTTAGAGAAAATTACCCTTACAGATGTGACATAGAATATGTTCCATCACTGTATGCTCTAGGACGTGCTTGCTCTGATCAAATCTGGGCACAGCTCCATGCAGGAAGAACTTTTGGGGACTTCAGTTGCCATGTTTCTATGAA